CTTTCACTGCGCTTTTTAATTCTAGTTTTTTTTTAACTATTGAGGGGTTAAGATAATTTTTCGTTGGAGCCACTTAAGTGTTGAGTAATAAGGGTTCATTAATGATTTGCCTCTAAAATATTATGAAAGGGTTTTCACAAAAAATTTTTTATGCTTTTCATGTTCTATTTCTTATTCTTTTTTGCTTGTTATTTTCGAGGTTCGGCTTTTCTTTTCAGCAAATGTTTTATTTGATCTTATTCTAATGGCTGGTTAACTTTTTAAGGTGCAAATTGCTTTATATATGAACAGCGAAATCAGTGGTCTTCCAATGGAATTGCAGCCAAAAAAAAATATGCAAGGATTTGCTCAGCGACTGAAAGGGAAGCAAGGACGTTTTCGAGGACATCTTTCTGGGAAGAGAGTGGATTTCTCTGGCCGAACTGTAATCTTTTTCAATCTTTCTTAGGTTTTTAAGAATGAAATCAAATAATTGTTCAGATTTTCTTTTTATAAAACATTAGTGGTTAGATTGATTCCGGTGGCTATAGTAAGACGTTTCAAAGCTTTTCGATCCAATGCCATCGCTGAGAACAACAAGCTATTCTTTTTTTACGATTTTCCGTCGTTTATATTGCTGATCCGCCTACACAGAATCTTTTCTAACCCTATCAGTCCAGGTCTTTATTGCCCTAGGTCGATTTTGACGCCAACTACCACAGAGTTTGGCAAGTGACGAAATATGTATCAACTCCTGTGGTTGAACGTACCCAACCAATGAAGGTGACGCTCTGTGATGGTATTGTTAATGGGTGTTTGAGTCAAGGGATGGAGTCACGCGAGGCTTAATCCGCATGACGGTTCAGTATAATATATCTTAGATTTGAGGGTTCAGAAATAGATAACTTCTTAATATCTTCCATTAGCTATGTTTTAGCCATATATTAAGATCAAGCGAGTCGTAGCTATTTGGATGCGAACTTTCGTTATTATGGTGATTTCGCGACGGCTCCATAAAGACCTTCGTTGATCTGAAAAACGCATTTTACCTTTACTTTTACCGTTATACGGATTGTAACTTCATTTGGCATTATAGTAGATCCAAGTATTAAAATCAGACATCCAAGTATTTAAAATCCTCAATCGGCAATGAATTTATAAAAATAGGTATTTTATCAGCTTCTTGAATATTATATATTATACGAAATGGCTTTCGTTTTACATTGACCTTCACTCCGATTCTCATTGCAGTTGTTGACACGTTGTTTATTTATATTTTGTTATAACTGTCAACAAAAAGAACTACATCATCAGTTTCAAGATATTCAAAATATTCAAGATATGATGTGATGCTCTGGAGAAATTTGTAGGCCTAATGAGTACAAGCAAGCTATGCTCATTATATAATCTATCGCAATATTGTAAAACGGAGCTTTAACAATTCTTATTTCTTACTGGTTCTTATTTCGAAGGAGAATGTCTATTCCCCATATATAAACTTGTGCGGAGGCTGATATACCTTTATGAGTCGAATGATCTCTTTCCAGTATTCTCCAAAGTGCCGTTTAATTGAATCGAAGGCAACTACAAATTCGATGAAATTCGTAACGGTGGGTTGCAAATATTTGAAGTGATATCTGAAGTGATATTCTAATATCCTTCTTATGTGAATAGAGCACCACTAGTTAGCGCCATTGCATCCCGATGTAAATACACTTTTTAAGACGCAACACTGCTGTACCATATGTCATAAATCTATTGAGTAGAAAGAAACAAAAATTATTTTGTATACTTTTGTATACTTTAAACTTGTTCATTTTGCTTATAGTTTTTCGATTGATTATTAGTTTATGCATATTTTCAGGTCATTTCGCCAGATCCGAATTTGCATATTGACCAGGTTGGTATTCCCATCTATATTGCAAAAACACTTACTTTTCCAGAAATCGTCAATAAAGCCAATATAGAACTTTTGCGAAAGTTAATAATAAATGGTGATGATGTACATCCGGGTGCTAATCATGTGGTCGATCGAATTACGGGTAATAAACGCTTCCTTAGGTATCTTTTTTCAATATATCGCAACATCATATTTCTCAAAAGTTAGGTTGCTGCTAGTTTTTCTGCTTTGTTTAAAGCGTTAATATTAATACAATCAATATATTGATAAATAAAAAATGGAATTTTCATAGCAGTCAGAACAGTTCAGAATAGATCAACGGTGTGTTTGTGATAATTTCATGGATATATATATATATATACATTGTTGTTAAAAGTAAATATTTAATGAATCAAAAACCATTCAAAATAGATAATATAGTATAGCGGAAAGCTTTATTTATTCCAAATCTTTGGAAATTTAGTATTTCAAGGTGCATCGAATCCTGCTCTGCCGCTGATTTTAATTGTTGCAGATATACCAATCGAAAGCTAACTGCAGCTCAGTTAAAAGTGGGCGATATTGTTGAACGTCATATCAGTGATAATGATATCGTTTTATTCAACCGACAACCTTCTTTGCATAAAATATCAATAATGGCTCACCGTGTGAAAGTTATGCCTGGAAGAACGTTCAGGTCATTTTTTCTACAAAAGTTTCTCATTAAAACTTGGAATTTTTTTTTTGTCGAGTTTCTTGTTTTGTCAAACGATAATATGCGGTGTTTAAAATTTTAGATTTAATGAGTGTGTGTGCACGCCGTATAATGCCGATTTTGATGGCGATGAAATGAATATACACGTCCCTCAGACTTATGAAGCACGCGCCGAAGCATCTTTATTGATGGGAGTCAAAAGTAATTTGATCACACCGCGATCTGGTGAACCCCTTATTGCAGCAACTCAGGTTATCTTTTTGAAAGATTTACTCTTTTCGATTTATGGCGGTTAAATTTCTTTATTTTCCTATTTATAAAATTTATTTATGTGCAAAAACTATTCTTTTATTTGTTTTCGTTATGGAATTTGGTGCTATTTAATATTAGTAATATTCTTTCCTAATGCTCTCATTTTATTTTGCAAATTATATTGGAATTTCCTTTTTTATGTTTTCGTTTTCTGCAACAATTTGTCTATTTTTAATATTTATTATTTTAATTATAATTTTTCTTATTGGTTCTTTTCCCGAATTTCTTTATTTAAGGATTTCATCACCGGTGGTTATTTGTTAACTCATAAGGATAGTTTCTTTCCACGATCTGAAGTGCATCGATTTGCAGCTGCCATAATTGACTCAAAAGCTAAGGAGCAAACTCGTATACGCATACCACCTCCAACTATACTTAAACCAATCGAGCTTTGGACTGGAAAGCAGGTTTTTGATTTATTGATATGTTCATATGATATGTTCAAAAAAGGTTTTTAAACAAAATTTTAATTATAACAAATACTAATTGTGATATGAATAAGGTAAAATTGGTAAAATGTGAAGTTTTGCATCGTTGAAAATTTCTTCTATGGTGTCATATCGTTCTGTACATCGCCGTTTATAAAATTTTATTATTAATTCCCATTGTTAATTTTTATATAATATATTGTTAATCGTTGATTCAATAAAAGTGCTATATATCTTACTTTCAGCTTATTGAACTAATCATAAAACCTGATATCAAGTCGACGGTAAATTTAAACTTGACTACAAAAAATAAGAATTATGTTGGAAACGAGGAGCTTTGTAATAATGTAATTTTTTATTTATTTTATAATTTGTTTATTTTGTATTAAAATTTTAAAGGTGCAATAAGGAACAAATATTAAAATTTTAACCATTCACAATTTCTGATTTTTGACGGTCGTTTTTCTTTTGATTTTTGCATTGATTCTTTAAAAAATTAAACCAAATGAATAAATCGAAAATATCGAAAATCGAAAAGCATTTTGCTCTCAGTTTTTGCTTCGGTTAAATTTAATTTCAGGATTCATATGTAATTATTCGTAATAGTGTATTGCTTTTTGGAGTTCTGGACAAAGCATTACTGGGCTCTGGTAGTAAAGTGAATATTTTTTATTTGGTGTCTCGTGATTTCAGTGAAGATGCTGCTATTGGAGCAATGTGGCGACTTGCGCGTATGGCAACAGTTTTTTTGTCAAATCGTGGTTTTTCCATTGGTGATTTTTTGCGATTCTCACCAGAACTTTACTTTTAATTTTTCTATTTTTTATTTAATAATATTGAATTTCAGTTTTTCACATTTTCATGTTTTTTTTCATATATAAATAACTAATTTTTGGTTTTTATGATTCAGGCATCGGTGATGTTCGGCCAAGCCCGGAATTGCTTGAAAAGCAAACAGAATTATTAGCAAAGGGTTATGGAAAATGTGACGAACTTATTAAAAGCCTGGAAGAGGGTCGATTGAAAGTGCAACCAGGATTTACGGAAAATGAAACGCTTGAAGCACTTATTTTAAAAGAACTTTCAGCTATTCGAGATCATGCTGGTCAAGCATGTTTGCGAACTCTTTCGAGGTATTTTTATATTTTCATTTGATATTTTATGTGAAATGCAAAGTTTATTTTTCTTTGATATTTTAGTCATAATGCACCTTTAATTATGGCTGTTTGTGGATCGAAGGGATCTCTTCTGAATATCTCACAAATGATCGCTTGTGTGGGACAACAGTCTATTTCTGGTCATCGACCACCGGATGGATTCGAAGTAAGAAGGCATAATATATTATTCATTTTTTACAAGTTTTCACTTGTAATTTGATAACCTTAAGGGTCGTTCACTTCCGCATTTTGAACGGAGGGAAAAAACGCCTAATGCGAAAGGATTTGTGAAAAATAGTTTTTATTCTGGGCTTACACCAACTGAATTTTTCTTTCATACGATGGGAGGTAGAGAAGGCTTGGTGGATACGGCGGTTAAAACTGCAGAAACTGGTTATATGCAACGACGGCTTGTGAAGTGTATTGAAGTAAGTTTAGATTATTTGAATGAAAAACATGCATTTTGCTTAGGGTTCGATTTATCTTTATTTATTTATTTTAATTTAATTCAATTTATCTTCTATTATTATTTATGAGTGGAAAATAAAAAAGAACATTTGCAGGATTTGTGTGTTAATTATGATGGTACCGTACGTTCGTCAACTGGCGAGATCATTGAGTTCGATTTTGGAGAAGATGGACTCGATCCTGCTTCAATGGAAGCCAAAGATGGGAATGTTGTGGATTTCAAACACGTTTTGGAACACATAAGAAATACTGTTCCGTAATTTTTTTGAATGATTTTATTTTTTATTTCTTCACCATGTGCATAATTTTGAACAATAGCTGAACAAAATTTTACGTTGTTTTTATTTTTTTTTATAAAAGATTATGTAACGAGGTATTATTCAGAGAGATTCCTATTCCTCTCCGTTTAGCCATTGTTAATATTTGAAGTTTTACAGTTTTTCATGGAAGGATGAAGGTGGACTGCAGATTGAGGAAATACGAACTTTGGTTGCATCTACCATCAGAAATAAATTGGGTAGTGGAAAATATCAGAGATTCCGCGAACAGCTCGAAAATTTTATTTTTGGGCATCTTGACAAAACGTCTAAGTATTATTCTATACCAAGCTACTGCAATAAGCATAAGTAAATTTCTGCTTCATTCCATCCAGATTTATTTATTGTAAAAATTCTGTTAATAAGTGCAACTTGGTCATATCTTTGTCTAATTCATCGTTATCTTTTATTCTTCTTATTTTTATGATAAAAAGGCATATATTCGTGTATAATATATTCGTGCATTGAATTTAGGAGCAATCGGGCCAAATGCTACGATTGCATTTCTCAGAATCGTTATAGGCAAAAACTAATCGTTTCAAATTGCCTTTCGCATTCGCAAGCAGTGGCTTTCGTTGAATTTTGCGACAAAAAGCTAAAGCGCGCCATTGCAGAGCCTGGTAGTGCTGTCGGTGCAGTTGCCGCCACTAGTATCGGTTAGTATGTTTTGGATTTCACAGAAAATTAATAACATCATTATCCGTCATTTCTGACTCCATTGAATTTCGGCAATAGTGATCCATTGGTCTACGATTCATTTGCGCACAGAAGCACAATTGGGTCTTTGGCACCATCCTAGTTCCATTTTTAATAAAAATTGGTTATCTTATCAGGATGCAGGTACCAAACGCATCACATGACCTTATCCGTACAAACGGATAGTCAATTGATAGCTTTATTTCTAATGTTCCGTTGTCTAGTAAAAAGTATACCACGGCGCTTCATATTAGGATTTATTTTATTGTCCTTTCAGGTGAGCCGTCAACACAGATGACGCTGAAAACGTTCCATTTCGCTGGTGTTGCTTCTATGAATATCACTCAAGTGCATTAAATTTTTTTTCTTTTTTCTAAAATTAAAAGTGAATAGTGAAAAGCGCATTTTTCATTTGCAGTAATGGTGATTCACTAATTATTGCTCAGATTTATTCGATCATTTCCATTAATGTGTGTTTTTCCAGGGAGTGCCAAGAATCAAAGAAATAATTGATGGTGTCAAGGACATTTCAACTCCAGTAATAACAGCTGCGTTAGTAGATGAAACTAATGAAAATCTCGCTAGGCTTGTTAAAGCAAGAATTGAGACGACAACTCTTGGTGAGATTTGTGAATATTTGGAAGACGTGTATCTTCCAGACGATTGTTTCATCCTTTTGAAAATAAATGCTCCACTGGTACGCGCTCTTCGCCTTGAAATTACCATGGATTCTATAGTGAATTCGATATGCTCTGCAAAACTGCCAGTTACAGTAAAAGCATCACAGGTGCTTTTTTTATTACACATGATTATCTTTTATTAACTGTTAGATAAGTCGTTCATCATTTCTGATTACTCCGATGTTATGGGAGAGAGAGTCCGAAACCGGAGCAGATAAGCTGTGGAGCAATCACTTACCTATCCTATTCGTGCTTTTTGGATAGCTAGTAAGCATAGGTGGCAGTTCAGATTTGTTCCTCTTATCCCACATCAAAGTTCTATAAAATTTCATAAACCCAGCTAATTCTGCAAAGTTTACAACTTTTACGTTATTTTGATCTGATTTATTGAAGGTTAAAGTTCGATCGAAAACAATACTTACTATCAGACCTCCAGATATGGAGAAATGTTCCAAATTGATGGCTTTACAATTTTTGAAGTATGGCATTGGCAAAGTAATTGTTAAAGGTTAATTTTGCTTTATTTTTTGAATTTGCTATTCAACGTAAACTATGGACATATCAAAATTTTAGTTATTTGATAGAAACTTAGTTTACATCTTTTAGGTATCAGAGGAGTGTCGCGTTGCGTGATTCATGCTGATGATAAAAAAGGAGAATCATATAAATTACTTGTTGAAGGAAACAGTTTCCTGGAGGTTTTGGCCACCATTGGTGTTGATGGTCGTCGTACAACTTTCAATAATGCTTTAACAGTTGCAAAGGTTTGAGGGAAACTAAGTTTATTATTCTTCCCTATTATTTTTTTTTTATAGCTTTATTTTCTTTGTCAAATATAGTTTTTCAAGAGAAATTATATACATATCGATTCGCAGTTGCAAATTGTATGTTCTTTTATAATTTTATCAGATGCATGTGATTCGCATGTTTCCTAGGTAAAATTTCTTCTCTAAGTACTTTAGGTCCTTGGAATTGAAGCTGCTAGAACCTCAATTATCCAAGAAATTTTATCGACAATGCAAAATCATGGTATAACCTTGGATCGGCGACATGTAACGTTGCTTGCTGACTATATGACTTTTCGGTGAGTTTTGCTATTTATCGTTCTATTATTCATTGGCAATGCTGGTATATAAAGGAAATTAATTCAATTGAGTAATGTTTTTTGTTTTAGGGGTGAAGTCTTGGGTATTACTCGTAATGGGCTCGTGAAAATGAAAGAATCAGTGCTTCTTCTTGCGTCTTTCGAAAAAACGATGGATCATTTATTCGAAGCTGCTTTCTTTTCTCAAGAAGATAAAATATCGGGTGTAAGTGAATCAATTATTTTGGGAACTCCTATAAATGTTGGCACTGGTCTTTTTAAAATACTTCACAAGTCTTCCCCCGTAAATACTTCACGACAAAAAACAATTTTTGAAATGTATGATTTTAAATTGAATTTGTGAATTTTTTCTTCAGTCTTTTTCAATGCCTGTCGTAATCAGTTTTAGTATTTATCATATTTCTAATATCTCAGCGATTTTTTATAAAATTGGAAAAGGTTATAAAAATTGAATAAATACTGATATGAATATTTTTTATTTTATTTTTATTACGAAATAAAGATCAGTGATCACACTGAATTTATGCATTATATTGCTTTGTTTTTTTCGTGAAATATATATTTGATATTCTATATATGATTCGTAGAAAAAAAGAATAATTATGCATGTTTGTTGCTTGTGGAATATATGGTAAAGAAATAAATATCTTGGTGATATTTTTGCAGTCTCATTATGTTCCTTGGCAATTATGCCTGGCACGCCTTTCGAATTGCATACCTTTGTTGTCCTTTTAGCCGAATCCTATTTTGAAATGTGAATATCAATTAGCTATGGCAATTGTCATACGATAATGTCTCTAGGGAATGCGCAGTTCATGAAAGTTAATATGTTATCTCTTTTTTTGAAACGTAGGTTTTGTAAACGATTAGGTATCGTGATGTACAGTGGTACTGTGATAAAAATGTACAAAAGAAGTGATTCGCAACTTTTGAGTCGAAAAGTACGAATCGAAATTGGTGTAGAAGAGAAATGTAATATTGGTTGTATCCTTGAAATTTATGGAGTGAGGGTTTAATTACTAGTTTTGCAATGTTTAGTAGTTCGTCTGGTTGGTGTGGAAAATTGAAGGCGAGGATTTATATTGGTTTTAAAATCGCTAGTTGGTATTGCAGTTGTTTCCTAGTTTTGATGAGTGTCTGATAATTTTATTTAGGGAGGAATTGAAAATTGTATCGAGAAGATAATTCGCAGGCATTCGTTGAGGCAATAATTGGGCAGTCGTTGGATGGATGGTTGTGAAACGCGTTCTTCTTAGCTTCCTGGCTGGTATTGCATGTTTTTACATTGTCGCAGTATTATTTGGTGCACCATTCTTCAGGTTTTTTATATTTGATTGATGAGGGACGAATTTAATTTTTCCTTTTCCATGCAGAAAATTTCTGGCTGACCATTACACTTCGGTAGGTTCGATAATGTTATAGTTTTATTGAAAATTGCGCTCAGTAATTTTTTCTAAAAATTCCATTGATAAAGTATTCTCTGTAACAAATACCCTATAAAATTAGTCTTTCTGATTTCTGAGCCATTTTCTCCTCGAATAACCGCCACTTCACCATTTCCGTTTTGGTTCAATCCTTCGGCTGATAAGATGAAATCTTTCATAAGTATTTTATTTTCAGCCATTTTCAAGCTACTTTTGCATTTGCTGTCGTGCAGTCGTTGTTATGCATTGTCCCATTATCATTAGTTATTAAATCATATGACGATCTTGACGCGTTGATCTACACATCAAGGTTTTTTTCTTTTCCTCTCAAAAATCCCTCAGTTTATTACTATTAATAAAGTATTGCAACCAATATTAAAGCGTAATTTGAGGGAAAATTTTTTTTTATTCAAATTTTCTTTTATATTATTAAGGTATCTTCAGAAATATTATTGCTAAAAGTAGATTAAAGAATTTGCCTGCATTAATCGAGTGCTTCCTTTATCAGTTTGGTTTCTTATATTTAATTTTTTTTTTCCTGTGGAGATTATACGAATTAATGAAAAATAATTTAATGAAAATTTCTTAGACGTTTACCAAAAACTCTCTTATTGGCAAAGAAAATTTCTTTAAGTGGTTTGCTTGGTGCGTGGTTTGGAGCATTCTTTATTCCATTAGATTGGGATCGCTGGTGGCAGGTGTTTTCGATTTTTTTTTTGATATTCCTTATCATGCCTAAATTTTATTTATACTTAAAATGATATAAATTTTGTAAAATTATAGTTGTCTCAAGATTATCCTTTTTTTTAAGCGTTGGCCTTTACCTTGTATATTTTGTGCTTTTTTCGGTTCTTTGTTCGGAGTTATTCTTTATTTTATTGAAGTTTATCGGAACAAGGCTCGCAAAAGAGCAGAAAAAATTATATGAAGTAAGTGTTTTTTTTTTGAAAAAAACTTGAGTTTTTCTAACTTTTTCAATGATTTTCTTTGTTAATATAGTATTATTTTAAAGTTATATTCGATTATGTTCGATTCATTTTATTATTTTCAGTTAAAATGCCAAAGTTTCAAATGCCTTCTGCGCTCAATACCTTTTTCCCTCATTCATCAGGTGTTCCGAAATTAAAAGCAATAATTTTTGCTGAATTTGACTCCAACAAAGGTCCTGTAATTACATTTCAAGTATGGCTTTTTTTAAATATCCATGCCAGCTTTTCTTATCTTTTGGCTTTTTCTATTCATATAAAAATTCAGCTCTTTTTTAGATAATTTCTTGATTACTCATGATTATTCATCAATTCTTTAAATCTTCACAAATATTATTTCATTTATATCATCTCATAATAGTAAATTTACGTTTCACTAGTTATTATAGGTGCCGAAGTTACTATTTGATGCAAAGAATTTCGATACCTTTTCCAGCGCTATTATAACAAAACCGGAATTGTTTCAAAGGCTGATCAAAGTGAATCATGTTGAAGATAACGAGGGGCATGTTTTTAAAGTAATGGGTCATGCTATTGGAATCGGTAATTTTTCTTTTTGTTTTTTTTTATTCCAGCGCATATTGCAAAAAATTCATATAAATGAAACATTTTTAAAACGACGATCTTTTAAGAATCAGAACAATATCCTCGTGGCCGTTATATATTTAATTTATGTTTTGTTGTGGATAAAGAGAGCAACGTGGATTGTATGTATGAACCTATGGTGCAGAAATGTGCAGCCTATCTTACGCAATTAGAAACAGTTTCGTTGCTATTTTAATAATTATAAATCTTTTAATTTTTAATCCTTTCTTTAATCTTTTAAATATTCAGGAAAATAATTTTCTTTCACGATCGAAGGATGAACTTCCAAATCTTATGTTGGCTATTTTCGAAGGCCTTAATGCTTATGGTAAATTTGCACGAATTCTTATGACCATTTATGATTTTAAAAAATTTCTGATTTAAAAAATTTACCTTGTTTTTTATGACTTTAAATTTTGCTGAATTGTAAACTGAATTGTTATCAGATTTACTCTTTCATTTAATTTATTTTGGTTTTCATGTTTTGCAGGTGAATGCAAAATACCAGTCGCTGATCGAACTGTCATTTATCTTAAACTTTGTCCATCTTTTCATGGAATTGAACCACCAAAAGTCTTTTTTATTTCTATATATATATATATATATATCTTTAAAGAATAACCCATTTACTATTGTCTATTTTAAGTTTTTCTGATTTTAGGTTAATCCTTATATGGTTCCAATGTTCAAAAGAATGCCACCACCAAAACTTTCATGTCATTTAACGAAGATGGATATTCTTTCTCAGAAGGTTTTTTGTATTATTATTGACACAAATTTAGGACTAAAAATTTGCAAATAACTTTGCAGTACTTTTTCTTAAATTATTTTATTTAGCCATTTATTTGCATAAAATGATTAATGATAATATCAATTATATATAAATTGATTATTTTAGATAATTACAATGATTGATGGTGTGCGCTGTATTAAAGATATTTCATTGTTGGTTCAAATTGATGTCGATCTTGTTGCGCGTTGTGTTCGGCATCTTCATTTTTATGGATTCCTGGCATTGTTACCTCTCTTCATGTATTCTAATTCATATGTTGCTACTGAGAAGTTGCACGATTTCTATTTGAATACAGATATCCATGAGGTTCCCATATTCCTGCTTGTCACTTATTTCTTAAATTATTCGAACTAATGTTTTAAATTTATATTATTTTAAATTATACATTCTTCTTTAAAATTCAAATAAAATTGTTTGAAAATCACTGGTCCCTTTCTGGCGAAAAGATTACCCAAATAAGCGATGCAACCAGCCAAAATGGTGCAATGGAAGAAGAAAAAAGTAAGTAAATAAGAGACCTCATTCAAAGAGAAAAAACAGACAATGAAAAAATAAATTTTTGGCATTTTAAAGAGTTATCTCAATTATCTTTTGATTTATTTCCATTATCTTTATTTTATTTGAGAGTTGCCTCGATTTTGTTGGAATTAGAAGAGGTATTAAGAGTTTCCCGGTTACTCGGCCCACATTTACCGATGTCTTTAGATTGTACGCTAGTTTAAAGGTAAACTATTTTGAAAATCATGTTCTTCATTTACTTTACCAGCATAATAGCTTTTCAATTCATTCATACACTGTCATCTGAGTGGTGATAATAAATGAATCATTTTAGATTGGATTTACTATGAAAGAATGGTGTGAACGATTTATGCCTAGACGATACAATGTTCATGAACGGCGACTCATACAATTTGGACTGTTTCATGGATTTATCCGTAAATTGAGCGTGTATCCTGTGGCTTTAAAAAAAGATGATCGTCTGAAGTTTGTGATTTTTTTGAACTAAACGGCCAAATAGATCTATAACTTAACCTTCCTTACATATGTGAAGAATAGTTAATAGTTAGAGTGGTTAACACTATTAAACAACATTCCATACAACATTACATTCACCATTTCTTAAACAGGATTTCGGGCACATTTTCATACTCTTCTTTTCTCCACTACCCAACTGTGCTATTTTTTTTTCAAGGTATGCGAAATATTGTGATGGTTCATTCTCGACGGAAGATATTGCAGTAATGCATAGCATGTCACCTTTGAAACTTTTTAAAATCTTACAAGATGATGGTAATTATGTTTTTATTTCTAAATAAAACTGCATCACGGTTTTTTATTTATATTGTTATCATTCATGGTTTATGTTAATTTTATTATGATTCTTATGATTCTTTCGTATTTTTATTATTATTCTGCTGTAATATGAAATTCGTATGTTTTTTTTTGTGTTTTCACATGGGAAAGAATAGAATACGAACTGGTAAAAAAATTTTTTTTGATATTTTCATATGTCATTGTCATTTTTTTGGATTTACCCGTTTTTTTTCATTTTTCATGGGATTTTAAATCGTTTTTCTTCATTTTCCCATATATTTCCCTCTTGAACTTGACAGTAATATAAATAAATATTCTTATTTGAATTCATGTTTGCAGCGTAAGCGATCAGATCAATTGGTCTTTAGGGATAATAAATACAAAAAGTAAAAGAAAATACAGGAATGCATATATCGTATTATTTATTTGATAGGGCATACAGGAATAAAAGTTTATGGATGGAGTAGTGGTTTCGTAAATGAATGTTGGAAATTTCTGTAGCTGAATTTTAATGTTTTCATTGTTTTAAAGGTTATTGCCTAGAGAATCCAATCTAACAGTTCGCATCGATAAGGGAATTATTGAGTTTGGGTATGTCGAAAATTCCGGTACTGTATTCATATTGGAGAAGCTCTTGCTCATGGCGTGTACGTATAGGTTCGATGTTACTTTCTATTTTTTAATACGAACTTGATAAGATTCGGTAAGAAAAATTTTCTCCGAGCTATGTTCATTTGATCATATTCCATATTATTCCTAGCCGTTATGCAGTTGGAAAACGGTCTACAGATTGGATGAACTCAGAGTTTCACTATTATTTCCTTTCGAAATCTCGGTTTGGTAATTTTGTTACTTGCCTTTTCTGCCCTTTTATTATTTTATTCATTTCTGGTTTGGTCCGAATTTATCAACTAATAGGAGAACGTTTTTCTCTAGGAAGGCATTTGGTGATAAGTGTGCAGTTATCACTATACTTCGCAATGGAGTAACATTTCTCACATTTCTCACTGATTCGTTGCTTCTTACCTAATATTAGCCTGAACACCAGTTTTGCATATTCTATAATATTTTTATAATTTATGGCGAATTTTTATTTATTACAGCGCTCGAAATGAAAGATGTCATTTACGAATACAAGCCGATCAATTTGCTCAACGATGAACAAGTTGGTTTTCTAATTGTCTAATAATATTTTATTTTTGAATTTGCGAATCTTTCTTTTTTTATATGAAATGAAATTTATTCTAAAGGTATTTCAAATTTTTTATCAAAATTATCAAATATTAGTGATAATATAAAGCAATAAAGCAATGTAGCGAAGAAATATCAGAGTTGTTTCTCTTCTTTATTAGAAGCATTTGCACCCATTAATGGGTCAGTTTTTTTTTCGAAAATATTTTTTCTATTAAGCGAAATAGTTTTAGAACTCTCAAGATTTCTTAAAAATCAATCCATTTGGTAAAGTTCCCGCATTTGTTCATAACGATGTGATCTTTGTTGAAAGCCTAGCAATCCTTGAATATTTGGAAGAAAATTTTTCGGATCGTTCGCCACTCTTACCAAAGGATAGCACAGAACGGGCGAAAGTACGAGCCATTGCAATGCAGGTATTTTGAAAACCGATGCTTTTTTTTTCGATCACATTCCATCAGTTATCAAATTTGTGATATTTTGGTGGAATTATTGGCTCATATGAGGCATTCCTCGTTTTTGACGATATTTTACATATTTTAGATTATTGCTGATATACAGCCAATTCAGAATATCGGAGTTTTAAAATATATTAACGATAATTTCGATGGTCAAGAAGTGAGCAAAATATGGGCAAAACGATGGATAGAAAGTGGCTTCCAAAAACTCGAGAAGATGCTTCACATGACAGCCGGAAGCTATTGTTTTGGTGATTCGATCACTCTCGCCGACGTCTGCTTGGTACCTCAGGTATATAACGCTCAAAGGTGGGCAATCACTGCTGGAGTTTTTTCAATGTTAAAGTCCTTTATTATTATTTGGCAGCTCGAAAATTTTAAAAAATTCACCTAACTTTAGTGTAATAATATGGGATTCTTAAAATTGAGAAAAGTTCTAATCTTTCGATTATGAAAAAAATTTTTAGCATAAAAATTTCATTTTCCAGTTGAAAAAATTTTTAAATAATTCGTTTGAACCAAATTGACACCAAATATAAATGTTATTTATTTTTAGGTTTGGCGTTAATCTAGAAAATTTTCCGACGATTAAAAGGATCAATGAAGCATTATTAACTGTGCCAGCCATCATGAAAAGCCATCCAGATCGCCAACCAGATGCTCAGTTGAATTTATAAAAGTACCACTGTATTATTTTTTTCTCGTGCATTTATGTTCCTCTGTGATTACTCTTACAATGGACCTTCTATCTCTCTATAGTGACAAATTTTTCCTTCATTAATTTTCTTCTAATAGCAATTACTATACCATTTGACTGGCTTTACCAAAGTTTTCAGATCTTTTTGGCACAGATTATTTCAAAATAGAAACATGGACAGTACTGATATGAGTTCTTGGTACCATCAAGATTTATTCCTTTTTTTTTGTTGATAAGTTTACTGCTTCAAATATTTCAAGAATAAAAATTGGACCCTCTATAATTGATCTTCTATATATTTCTTCTATATATTATTTATACCTTAATCTATATATATTTCTTTCTCCTAATCATATTTGATAATTTAAAAAATTTTTTGATAATTTTAATGTTGATAAAATTTTTGCAATTGCGATGAATCTTTCCAAAATTTTTTCAATAATAAAATGCAAATGCGAATGAATTTATTTAAAATACTGCGATAAATTTCTATTTTATTTAAAAATAAACAATTTTTAAGATTTTGAAAAATAAAGAATTTCGATATTACATCATTTTTTAATTTTTAGAATATTAAATTGAACAAAAAAATTTAAAAAAATAAATTGGGCCAATCCTCTCAACAATAATAATTTCCTTTTTTATTTCGTTTTTAAACATTTTAATATCGTCGAAAGCAATATCGTTGATTTTCAAATTGTCTCAGTGGCTTGATTATGCAATAAATTTTATCAGTACAATTTATCAATACAATTTTATCAGCGAATTTGGTGATGCTGGAGATGTACCTGGATGTGACTAACTATCATTCGAGGAGCCGTTGGTTTTTGAGAATGAAATTCAGGCGGCCGGCGGAGAGATCCACTCTCTAAGATACCTCTCTAGATTTGTAAATTTCTAATCAAATTTGCAAATGGCGTTGACCTTGACATAGAATTTTTCTTTCGATAATTATTTATTGATTTTAACAATTTATCATTTTCTAATCATTGACTGTAATAAAAAATATTTTATTGCCATATGCAATTTAGGCCAGTGATAATATATAAAAGTTCGTAAATTTATCCTCGAAACTTGCTATTTTCATCTATTTTGATTTTTATTCTACCAAAAAATCAAATAAGGCAACGGCATACGCTGGCTGAAATTAGAAACAATAAACAAAAAATTAATTATTATAAATACAAAACATAAATTATAATACGAATATTTCAGGCATTGTCAACATTTTTTAAATCCACGATGCATCTTCTTTGATTGCTGAGGGGTTCAAACTGGCTAAAAGTGGTATTCTCGAACTTGTTTCATTTATTCTTTGGGATATTGTTTTCATATTTTCTTTATACAGCAGTGAAGTTCAAAGGGGTGCTAGTTTTTTTGAATTTTTAAGTAATCGTGCTTCAATTTTTTAATAACGGCGATCAGTTTTTTTGCGAATAAAACAAGGAGTTTCACCTCTCAGAGGGCGACTTTTTCCGAGAAAAATCACACATGAGGAGTGTTTTTTATGATAAAAAGATTTCTACGGAAAAAGATTTTTGGAGACCTTTGGAGATTTAAAGAAATATCATAAAAATTAATTAAAGCAAATAGGCAGTTATACTACATACGATTGGTGTACCAAAACTGTTTCCTTCTAAATCTGAATCGAGGTTTTTCAGCGAAGAGGGGGAAAGGCTTATCGCTGTAGTGATGCAACTGTATTTGGGCTTTCGGCTGCTGATAGTGCATATTTGTCCACTTTATTTTTATACCGATTGTACAGAACTGTTGTAATCTCTCCTACGAGAAGATCGCCACCATTCATCTGAAAATTAAAAATTTTTTCGAAAATTATTTAAAGATATTTTCTTTGTTTTTTTTCGACATCAACTACGAATATGATCAACAGTTTCTTCCATTTTGCTGACTAATGAAGTGAGCTTAGAAGTGATGCGTATGAAATTGGTGACAAAGATAGGTCCTCAGTGATCTTTTTTTGATGATATATTTGCACCAGTTAAAAGAAATGGGAACCAATATTGCACTGCTATAATGCTGCTTTTACATGTATATACATAAAATTCTTTTTTTATTCCCTCCTACGTTAGGTCTTAATAATCTACCAAAGTTTGGGGATAATGCGCAGTATCTTAGCTATTCCTAGCAATATTCTGGACAGAAATCCCGTGTTGTTCCTGAAATATGTTAGAATCACTTCACCAATTTGGAGATCATTTAATATTCCTACTACCATTTAGATTGCTTGAGCCTTTACTTTATACATCTCTAGTTCCTCTTTCAGCTCTGGTCTATTACCATGATATCTGGTTGATTTCTGGAAAATTCCCATGAGATCGTTACTTTATTATTCTTCACGATTTCCTGGGGAATCTTCTACCTGATCTTGGGAGAGTTTAAACCATCTTCTGAGCAATTCCTGTAGACATTGGCAGTTTAATTTCAGTGCCGTTCCTGCCATTATGTAAAAACGTAACGCTTAAAGCCATTAATGTCGAATTTCACAACAACAGCAGTTTGAACTGCATCCAATCTTCTCTATCTTTCCTTTGAAAGCCCTTGAGCAAACCCTCTGGAAGCCTCAACTCTCAGGCCTCTATAAGAGGATCCGAGGTGATATACCACACAGGATTATTTTTTATATCAATCATATAGATCATAATATTTTAGACTACGGAATTAAAAAAAAATTCAAAAATGGAATTATTTTAATATTGAATAATCGGAAACAACCTCTATTAGTCGCAACAGGAATACTCCATCAGGACGCAAAAATTTTTTTAAAAAATCTATAAAAACTCGTTCGTTTCGATAATCGCTATTTTCCGGCAATATACCAGCACAACGCAAATATCTTGCGACAAAATCGCTTTGATTTCCAGAAATCGAAAGAGCAATTGTATAATACACCATAGAAAGTATTGAAAGTATTCCCACAAGAATAAACCACCACCTGAAACAGTTTTATTTCTTTGAAAAGTACAATAATGCAATCGAACTGTGGTACTAATTTTATTAGAATTATTTTATTTGTTTTAATTACTATCATAAATTATTTTTATTCCTTTACGATTATTATCAATATTAGTAAAATATTAATAAAAATTTTAAAAAGAGAAATTTTGAAATTGAATAAAAGTTGAGAGTTTAAACGAGGTGAAAGGTAATAAAAAAAGAATCCACCATAAAAAAATGTAAATCTTTTCGTTGAACATATTGATCATTAGAACGCATTGAACGGTCCAACGGTGAATATTTCCCAAAACACGAACCTGGAATTAAATAAACTCAATGCCCATTTTATAAAACTATAAAATGGCGCATTAGAAATAAGTAAAGTAAAGGCCTTTGAAAAATTTTCCGTCTAATATTTCATAGCATTCCAATACACTTCTATGAATTTTTTTATTTTCTAAGAATTCGATCGAAACTAAATATATTTTTTTGAAAAAAAACAGAATTTGTAAAAATGCAAAATGCATTTTTATTATAAATTTTTGAAAATCATTGATTAAAATTATTAGAATAATTGGAAATAGTCGTAAAAGCTTCAATTTTGAGATTTTATGTACATAAAAATATAAACAAATATAAATATATAAATTTTTTCCTACAGTATTCACCATTTCTGGTTTGCTTATCTTTAATATACCAGGAATCTCTTCGCCATTTATTATTACTTATTATTTACAATTATTATTATTTATTATTATTATATTAGCATTATATTGTTATTGCAGAATAATAATATTATTGTTACAATTATTATTAATATTATAATTAATATTATTATTATTTAATATTATAATATTAATATTATAATTAATATTATTAATATTGATATTAATATTATTATTATAATATATTAATATTATTATTATAATATTATGTCATTATTAATTATTATTTATTACTATTATTATCTATTAGCTATTTAGAATTATTTAGGAATTAAAGAAAAGAAAGATTCGAATTCACCAATCGAATTTCATTTTTAATGGAACGTCTGCTTCAGATAAAGAATAGAATTCATGCCGTTTGATACCATGCCGGCTGAAAGCAATATATATGCCACCTAATTATTACTGACAAAAACGAAATATTTACATGAAAATCGCATAGGGTTACGCGCGGAAAATGCCCCGATTCTTCCCATTCTTTGCCATTCCAAATATCCGACAAAATACCAGCGCCCCAAAACGTGTACTGTGGACCCAGAAAAGCATTCAATATAACGAACTGTAGAATAACATTTGCCACATATAGCATCTACAATGCGCAGAAATTTATGCATTTTTTAACTAAACGAATAAAATGATCAAATGTGAACAAATGAAGAAATGAGTGAAAATTAAATGCAAATGGAAAATAGCTTTATTTTCCTTATCGATCAATTTCTTTGCAAAATTATCAATTAGTTTTTTAAACCTCGATCAGCAGTTTTTTTTAACAGTTCTCACCATTACTGGTTAAACTCGCTCCGCTGGCTTGTCGCACTGGACAAATATGCAGGGAATCCCTTGGTGATAGAAATACAGATAAGTCGCCAGCATCACGATCAGTGGTTATTTTCACCTAAAGTCTAAGAATCTACGAGCTATTTCTTTATATTCTGGTAATTTATAGCATCTATAATATATTTGGAAACATTCAAAAGGACCTCCAGGGAGATATCAGAAAAGAGCTCCTGAGCTATAACGATGTACTACCTTTAGCTAGATTAGAAATGAAATCAACCTTAGTGAATAAATAAAGACCAATCAGATATATACCACTTCGTTTACCGAAGCGAAAAAATTCGTAGGACTCTGAAAAAAATTTAGTTAAATAGATAACCTAAAAGACAAAGGAGATTTATCAATATGTTTTCTTAACAAATTTAAAATATCAATTCCTAAAAAATTGATATGATAAATTGATGTGATAAATTGATTATTAAGCGAATAGTTCTTGTCTGCTGCTGATACTGTGATTTTACCTACCTATAATTCAATACTTGTAACTCAATAAATTTATTGAAAAATAATGAACTGAAAATATATACCGCTTTTAAGCTCTCTTTGTAATTCAAGCGCTTCTTTAAGGTGGTCAGCAGCCAAATGAACTTGCGCAATTCTGGATCCTTTATCAAACTTCTTCTTCACCATAGCGGCCGAAGTGAGTACACCTTTCACATTTATGCCTAAAATAAGCGTATCATATCTGATTTTCAATCGTTCATATATAAATTAGACTCATCGACCTATAACTTTTTAAAGTATTTAGTTTGAATGCTTTTAGGCACAATACATTTATTTTATATTGGATTGAATTTGTGACGGATTTTATGAAACTAATCAAATTACTTGAAAATGGGTTACCTGTTCGGAAATTGAATGCTCTCCAGATGATTGACGGTGAATAAAATAGAAAAGCTTGTAAAGCTAAAACAATTGGCACCCACTGATAATATCCAATTACCTAAAATTAAAAAAAAACATGAAAATATTTATGATAAATATTTGATAAAATATTTCATAAATATTTTCGTGTTTTTTATCTACTGTTTTATCATATTTATCATGTTTTTATCATGTTTATCATGTTATGTTTATCTTTTATCATGTTTTTATCCATGTTTTTTTAGATAGAATGAAGTTGATTCATTCTATCTACTCGTAAATCAGAAACGCTTGGATCATTGTTGAATTCGTTGTTGAAAAGGCAATCGGCCTTATTCATATTAAATCCTTTGATGTCTTATTTACGATTTTTTTATATTTATAATTGATAAAAGTGGAAAGCGAAATAAAAATCCTTACAAGCTCATCGCGAGAATTATAGTCGTCTGGAATAAAATTATCCATCGGTAAGAAATAACTGCCTTTAATGAAACAATAGGTTTCTGCGTACCTTAAAATATTGAAATAAAATAGATATTTAGCATTCCTATTTTTTTCCTTTTTTTCCTTTTCTTTTCCTTTTTTCCTCTACAATATGATTTCCGGTAGAATAGAAATTTTCAATATTTCCAATATTCTCAACCTAGTTTTAAAATAGCTACTAAGGATATGAAAACTTACTTTTCCCATGCACCAGTGAATTGAGCTGGAACCCAACACTGAAAATTGAAGACAATTAAATTTTTATTTATTAAAAATTGTAAGATCAATATAAATACTTTAAATTTCTTAACCTGAATAGGTTTTCCTACATATTGTGTGGCAGCTAGAGTTAATGCACATAGACCAATGATAATTGTAGTGTATTGATAATTCAATCGATCAACGATATCGTTTGATTGATAACTGCGATGGACTTTACTCAGGTAAGGTACGAGTACTCCAATCATTCTATTCCTAAAAATTAGAAGTATTGGATAAAATGATAAAAATATTGGATAAAATGAAATCAATATAGAGAATCCAAAAAGTTTCATTCGATGCAAATACCAATCGAGAAAACGAATAAAAACAAAAACTATCATTAATATATAAAAAATAAAAATAATATTTATAAAAAACATTATAAAAATAATCGATTAATGTAAAAAAAAATGAAAAATAGAATGAAATTTTTTCGAAAATCTTCCGTGATACATAGCAAATTGATTAGAATTACCAAAAACTATAATTTTTTCAATGGATATAATTAATGACCAGCAAATCATTTGCCTAAAATTTTGCATCTGGTTGGAACTCATTAGCCATTTATATAATTCGTTTAATATATTAGATTGATTCGTCATTCCAGAGTACTGACATTGAGCAGCCAGCAGGGGTAAATATGTCCTTGAAAAAAAGAAACTGTATCGTGTAAACGGTCCATTTACACCTCTATCGTCAAGTGCCCTCACTAGGAAAACTGGAAAATTTATCTGAGCCTAAGCTGGCCATTCTTTAAAAAATAAAAAAAATATTAAAAAATTTATTGTTCTCCATTTTTGAATTTAAAAAAATGGAAAAAAATTTTGAGTTTATTGGAAAAGTACAAAACAATAGCGTTTCTTAAATAAATTAAAAAATTAAAATTAAAAAATATTTCTCTAAAATGTGGAAAAATCAACAAAAAAAATTAAAATTAGAACAAAATGGTTTTTCTTTTTTATTCATAGAAAAGTTAAAAGAGATTTTAAATGGTTGTTGGTTTCGATTGAAATGAATGGATGTCGATCGTTTTCGATCGGCAATTATCAAGGACAATCTTCTTCTTCTCTTCGCTCTCTTGTCGCTTCAGTCTTCAACCAGCGAATTCGTTATTTAAAATGCTATACAACGAATTATAATAAAAGACGATTTGCCAATCTGCGAATTGAATGGCGAATTTGTACAAATTCATTCAACGGAAGCGATTCGAAAAATTGGAAAATGAATGGAAAAAAGAAAAAAAATGTAAGAATAAAAATTGAGAAAATTAGCATAGAAAAAAAAAGGGAAAATTTTTGTTTAATTTTTTCATTTTTTCATTCATTGTTATGCAATTATTCGGATTTGAATGAAACTTATAAAAAAAAGTTGATAATGACGGGTAAAAAAAATAAAATGAAGATGGAAAATAAATATAATCAATCCTGGAATCCATCTTAAGTCCATTCCACAGTAATAAGAGAGGCTTATCAATATGCCGATATCGACGCAAAAGAACCCAAAATGAGTGATAAGAATGCAAGGCTAATGTGATATGGCAGGATCAACAAGGATATTAACTATACGATAGAGTTATTTGAGAGTTGCTAGAAGATTAGCAGATTTCGCACAAAAATTCAAAAAAAACTATTATAAATGGCTTTTGGTATAAATAAAACTATAAAAAATTTCGAGTTCTTGGATGAAGTGAAAGGGCATTCGAAAAGTTATTTTGCATAAAAAATAGCTTGGAGTATGGAGAATTAAAAAAGCGCATTGTAATATTTAATATTGCATTAATTTTAAAAATTTTATATTTTTCAATCTATAAAAATGATTGATAAGAGGAAAAAAATTATCATAAATTTGGATATTTTCTAAATATTATCGAATTTTGAGTGAATTTCTTTGCGATATTTCTGATTATTGTTTGTCTTCATCGACATATTAGCGGAATTGTAAATCGGAGTTGGTATAATAAAACGAATCGTTATAGCGCCTATTATCAATAATTTGATATTAATAAATAATCTTCGTGTAACTTTTTATCGCTAATATTATTTATTATTTTATCATTTATCAACAAATCTTTTTAACGCGATCTCACCAAATCAAATCACCGACCAAGAACATGGAAATGAGCAAATATGCCAACTTACTTTTAAGGCTTTTAACAAAGCTTCCATTTGGTGCACACAAGCCAATCACTGGTAATTGTGCCAAAAAATTCAGTCAAAACCACTAGGAATCATCATTAAAATTATATTGCAAATGGAAGGCAATAACTATAGCAGAACTGTATTTTTCGCCAGAAATCACTCAACTAAAACCAGTTTTTAACTGTTAAATTAATGGTGATAAAGTGCGATTTTCTTTCTTCCTAAAATTAATTTTTTTGATAAATAAGGGTGAATAAATGGGAAGCAAATATATATCGAAAGATATTACTTAAAGATTCGTATTCGCAGTCATTTCTACGACAATTTCGGAAGAATTTTAGTGCTTTTCACATTTTGATAAAAACTAATATTTTTTGTATTTTATCAACAAAAATCGTTTCCATTGATGGATTTATGGATTATGGATTTCATTAGAATATTTTAGCATATTTATAAAGGATGTATTGGCTATATTTATAAAAATGCCAATAATAGCGATATTATAAAAATTGATGGAAACGAGAAACCAGTTTTAGTCGAACAAATATTTCTTCTCGAAATATTATGGCCAATAATGGAAAATTTTCACAAATATGCACCCATTTTAATAACGCTTATGTATAATACAATCGATAAATTTTCAAATAGATCAAACACTGAAAAATAATTTAGAAAATTTCCTTCTTAATATGAGAAAGATAAGTGAAAAATTCTAAATTCTAAACTAGGCCAACCATATGAGAAAAATAAAAGAAAAACTACCCATAAAACAAAACATTAAAATGCTTTATATTTGACGAAATTCGTCAAAATAAATATTTTTTTGGAAAAAAATTATTATTTATCATTGTTATATTATTTCAACGATATATTGCTCTAAAAAATGTATTAAAATATATATAAAAATATATAAAATATAAATATAAATATTATATAATTATATAAAATTGAAAAAATAACTTTTTTTGGTAAAAATAGCCAAAAATAACTTATTTTTATCAGAATTTATTAGAATTATCAGAATTTAAGCACGAAACAAAATTTTCATATCTTTATAATCTTTATAATCAGAAAGTAATGTGGAAAAGAAAATCATTAGCGACGATGAATCGTTCGTTGGAATATCGAATTAACAAAAGGAACATTGAAATTCCGAGAGATCGCAAAGAGCAATTATATTTAATAGTATTATTTGAAATGTACGACATGGCCCAACATCGATAGAAAAGGAATTTTTAAAAAATTTTAATAAAATTTTATTGAATAAATGAATTTGAATAACTTGATAAATGACTGAAAGAGTTTAGTTATATTATCGTTATGGCTATGCTACTATACTATGTCTGATACTCCTCGTGGTGCATGTAATATGGTGCAAATTGGATGTGGTGAAACTGTTGCAATATTTGAGAATAGAATGAGCCAGGGTGGGTAGCAGTAGGGTAGTAGAAACCTATTGAGAAAAGTGAACAAATATCCGTTGGTTATGTGGTGAGATCTTGGCTATAGCTAATGTGAAACATAAGAATGCTTAAGGCTAGGAATCTATCATTCACACTTTATCCAAGCAACATGCTTATCGCTATTTAGTGTCACTCACTTCCTGTATATATCACACTCATTTCCTCATAGCCAAGAGCTAAGATATTCATTGTATATGGCGGTTGATTCGAGAAATAGTGATTATTATTATGTCTGCTAGGGCAGTTACGATTAGCAGCTGAATGGCTTATGCTCTTATTCGAAACGATCTTTATATCTTATATCTTAATTGATAAAATTTCTATGAAAAACATTAATTACTGATAATATCACTATATTTCTCCCAAAAAGTGACATAGGGTGAAGATTGAGATGGACCTGCAAGTCGCTGTCGTGATGGGAAATATTCGAAAACGAGATCTCCGGCTAGCTTAATCTATTGCTTCAGTTACATGATAGATTTATCTCTGCAAAAAAACAAGGAAAAAAAATAAAAAGAAATAAGAAATAAACTTTAAGAAAAAATTTTTTATTTTTAATTCTTTTAAAATTGTATTATTTTATAATTTAATAATTTAAAAAATTTATTATTATTATCATTTATTATTTATTATTACTATTATTATTACTATTATTATTATTTATTATTACTGAAGGAAAAATATAAAATATTATTATTAATTATTAAAATATAAAATATTATTATTGTTTTTATTATATTATATTATTTACTATTACTTATTATTATTATACTTTTATTTTATTTTAATAATAGTAATAATAATAATAAAGCTTCATAAAGCGATTGATTTCATAACCTAATGGAAGAAAAAATCACTCAGTCATTCAGTATATGTCAGGATCTAATCATTAAAGTAGATGAAGATGAGGATACGAGACGTCATTTTAGGTGAAAAATTCATTAAAAATTGGGAGAGGAGTAAAAATAAAAGATATCATTCATTACTTGCATCGGGCACATTCGCATTTTTACTGCATATTATTGTTATACGAAATTCAAGTTATTATTATTAATTATTATTTTTGTTTTTACTATTGTTTATTATTATTTTTGTTATTATTATTTATTATTGCTATTATTACCATTATTTCTTGCTTATTATAATTATTTATTATTTTTATTATTATTTAATATTATTACTAAAGGAAAAATATAACTATAACTATGAAAAAGAAATTATGAGAAGATCGTTCCTTATAAATTAGAAATGACAAGTTTAAGAAAAAAATATTACTATTCTCCGTCCATATTTACAATTAAGACGAGCATTTATTGGTTGCCTTTCACTTATTTTCCTCATAGAATAAATAAAGGAAACCATAACAAACAAATGTTGCAAAGGGCATAGTGGAATATTCGAAAAAGCCCAAAGCAATATGGGTTTTCTCTTCATTTCTCTTGATGGGAGTGAACTCTTGAGTGCTATTGAGCTGGTGCTAGGAATCGATTTCTCAATTTCAAAAATCTTTCTGATGGCTGTTTTCATTTCAGTTACCAGCAGAACCAAAAATATTAAAAGAGCGGAAGAGGAAAAAGAATAGGTATAAAAGATTAGCCAATGTTACCAATGTTTCAGTATAAACACAACAGTCATTATGGAAATTTTAAAACCCAATAATGCCCTTCGCTTGCAAATCTGGAAGCTTATACCTTTTGGCAAAGTGAACCTTTGGTCGATTAATTCAATTACGTCAATGCACTCGGCAGAGATCGCTGTGGCCAAAACCGCATAAATATAAGAATTTGGTCTCGAGAAGACATCACTACAATATGTTAGTTCCATTCTTATTCTTCATTAGGCTGCTTTTAGAAAATTATACAAGTAAATTCATTTTTCTATTTATTTTCACTTAAACTATTTTTACTTAAACCACTTTCTTTTTATGCAAATTTATTTTTTAAATTTATTTATTATGCAAATTTGATCTTTTCATGAACTTTCCTTGCTAATATCAATTCAAGAGTGGATCAAGAGTGATCAACATTCTTGGCTAAACTCGTTCTGCTGGCGTGTCGGACTAGAAAAGATTTTGCCATGAAGCTAGTTAGTGGGTGCATAGTTAGCACATTTGGATTTTTGATAGATATTTTTACTTTTACTTTTACTATTGCCGAGAATAATATTCGATCATTGGTGCTCCGGAATGAGAATATCAATCTCGCCATTTCACTTTACCTTTTTAGCCCCATTAAGAGGTGTTCGTGCATGAAACCATGGCTTTGAACCAGTTTAAATTTACATCTTCGGGACTAGTTGCTGCTGCTACTTACTGGTAGCGATATATCCAGAAACAGATATTTAAGCATATACGATTAATTCTATATAATGGCAAAATTTGAGCATAGTTTTTAAGGACCAATATCTTGTCCAGGATTGCAACCAAGAGATCGGATTTCTTTTTTACTTGAAGAAACAGTACGTCAGTCAAAAGGATTTGATTCTACCGATAAATTACATATAAATTTCAAAGTAAGTATAAATTTGTTCTGAAAATGATGAAAATTTCCACTTAGTTGATTTTTCAGACTTTATTGAACTTATATTATGTGCAAAGAATTAATATCAAATAAGTTTCGCATACCTTAACACAATGCACAAAGTCTAGCAATACCATATTCTCGTCTCGTCATGAAGAAATCTCGTTTCGCCATGCTTAGGACCTTTTCGCCATAATCTCCTTTATATTCACATCGAAAATCATATAATGCTCTTTATCTTTAATAGTTTCCTTAGTACTCAATAAAATCCTTTCTATCACTTGAATCCAGACAGACCCAACTGTTGAAACCATCCTTTTTTTTAATTCTTCGCATGTTTTCACCATCTTATAAATTGTTTTCACAAGCTGCTATTCCTATTTTCTTATTATACAATCCTAAATTCCATTATATTTGATTAATGTTCCTCTCTAATCCAATTCAATCGCTTCATTCTTCCTCATATTTTCAATTCGTGCTCCTATGTGCTTCCATTAACATTCCAGAAAGCAACCGTTCTGAGCTCTGCCCTCTACTCTTTAATAAGAAATCGCTTAAATTTTCAGTTTTTTTTTGGTCCCATAATAGTATATCTAAAGCTATTTCACAAGAGGGCGAGTTTAAAGAAAATAATAATTCTTAAAGAAATATCAAAGAGTATTGCTAAGATTTAAAGAAAATTCGGTCGACCCATAGGACGGATCATTTTATTAATAATATATAATTAATTTGGAAGATTATTTTTAGAATTAAACAAAATAGGGCAAATGCTCTCAATAATCACTTCGAAAATATTACGAAAAAACTTCTTTTATGTATATTTTCTTTTTTTTAGAACTGGAGTTGCAACTTAGAAAAGATGGCTATCACTGCGACAAAGCGATGCTTAATTCGAACATATACTATAAATAAAGGACTTCGACAGAGTGTGTACGCACGATTGTCCTACTATGGACCAGGTTCTTCAGCATCTTTAATCTCATTATCTGCTCGGATTGTTATATCTTTAATAATCCCTTTATTTCAATATTTCAGTATTTCTTTCGTGATCTGAAAAAGTCTCAACGATAAATACATTGAGAAAATAACTATTTTTGTTTAAGATTAGCATTCAGCATTAATACCTCTACCAAGTACCGTACGTACTATTACCAATCTATGTAAGGCAATACGTGCAAAAGATTCTTTTTGACATTTCAATCCCTTATGTACAATTATGCAAGAATAGTAAGAATGCGCCAGGAAAACACTAAATAATAAAAAACAAGGACCTAAAGAAATATCTCCCGCATCTTAGGAGATAAGTCATATATTCAAAGAGCTATTGATTTGCACAAAAGATATAAATAAAATTCGAAAAAAATAAATCTTGAAATATTCAAAAGAAAAATCAAATTATTCAAGAATTTTTTAAAATTTCATTTAAATAATTAATGCAAATCAGTTTTTTTTAAGAGTCCTCACCATTACTGGTTAAACTCGCTCCTCTGGTTTGTTGCACAGAAGAAATATGCCAGGAAAATATGCTGAGGTTCCTTAGCGATAGAAATACAGACGATCGCCAGTATCATCCGGATTTTTGTACTCATGTGGGGAATCGAACCTCAGCATTGGCATTCCCAATTGAGCAAAAACCTATTGAGCCATTCTCTTGTCCCTTGTCAAATGCAAATCAGTAATTTTTAAAAAATTGTTTTGCAGTCAAACGTTTTTACCGCAAATCTATTAACAAAACGGAAAGTATTATATTCTCAACTCTTATGAAAGTGAGTATTTTCAAATCGAATTTTTATCTCGCATATTAATAAAAATAGCAAAGCATTCAGTTTGAATTTCATGAAGTGAATTATTTTAAAGGCAATAAATATTGAAAAATTTCGAAATTTTCTTATTAATTAATATTTTGATAATAATAGTAATAATAATAATAATAATATTATTATTATTATTATTATTATGCTTAATGGTAAGGATATTTTAATGATATCTTTTATTTTACTTTTGCTCTGTTACTTACTAATTTTTAGGAGGATTGGATTGCAACAACCGAATTTGCTTGTGCAAAAAAGAAATGCCGTCACAAGTCGCACAAAACCGATTTGACTTTTTGCTTTTATAAATTGAAGTGAGCAGTTATTTTTTATTTACTTGCTTGTTTTTATTCCGATTTAAATATATGTAAATATTCCGATTTATTTACTATTTTATTTATTATCCTTATTCATTTTTATTAAATTCGATTATTTTACTACTTAGGAGGAGCACTTGTTGATTACGAAAATTTCGTGTGAACAAAGTGCATGAAAAAAACTATTATTTTATTATTTATTATGCAGAAATTCTAAAATATTCAGGCAAAAATCAAAGGAAAAAGAGACACCGCAAAATGTTACAAAAATATCTGTTTTCGACAAAATTTTCTCGGATCAGACCCCACATTTTAATTCATTCGACACTACACTACCTGTGAAATCCTATTCGACATTATCTGTGAAATCCTCCAAACCTCTTCAAGTATTGATGACCAAAGCTCGCGGAATAACGCAGATGGAGACAGTAGTCTCAGCATATCAGCCAATAATGACAGAGGAAGACTCAACGTATAAGCCAACAACAATGGAGGCAGTCTCAGAGTTATCGCATGAGACAACAATACTCGCGACCGATATCATGCAATTATCAACTGGTTAATTGCTATAAGAAATAATTTTTCCATGAAAAAATTGAAAAACCATTAAAAATAAATTTCATTTCATTTAATTTAATTAATTTCTCCTATTGTTTAGGATGCGCAAAATCAAACATTACTACTAAAGTCCAAAAAAGGGTTTTGGCGCGACATAAAACATATAGTGCAACGCTCGCATATGTCATTGCAAAAATGCGTGGAAATTTGCCTGAGAAAACAAGAGAATTAGTGAATTTTTTCCTTTATTCTTTATTATTTCTATTTTGTTCTTTTAATAAGAAAATTGTGGATGCGATAAAAATTGTGGATTGAAAGCAAAAAAGTATCCTTCATATAATTTTTAATATTTATTATATTAGGTATACATTTAGAAATGGAACTGTTCTTTGGCGAATTCCGCACAGCTTTGGGCAAACGAGTGTGTTTGGTCACATTCTGAATCTGCTTTTGAGAACAAAATTGGCGAAAGCTTAATGAATTTCTGGATTAACGATACATCATTGCCAGGTAATTTTTTTGGCATAAAATGTTTGTGACGCTATAATTTCAATGTTTAAGATTCAATATTAATGGATGCAACTGATGCGTGGTGGAGTAATGTAGTTCATAAGGATTATGCTGGTGAATCAAGTAAAAACTTCGTGCAAAATTTTGATTTCTTCATCCAAGTTAGTTGATCTATCTATTTGATTGTAACCTATCGCTTCAACTCTAAGCAAATTTTTAAAAAATTAAAAAAAAAATTTAAGATGACAAATTTGATAGCAACCGATATGGGTTGTGGAATGGCACTTTGTCCAGTAGGAGGCTATCATGAAAAAATTCAGCTAGTTGTCTGCCAATATTACCCACTGTATGTTTCAATTCTTCGAATATATAACTACAAATATATTTCATAAATACGATATGATAATATTCCCTCAATTTTTATCACTCCCATTTTAATGCAAAGAACTTTCAGGGATAGCAGTTTGGCTGAGAAAATCCGAAAATTTTTGACTGAAAATCGAGTGCGATTCCTTGAATTGGCTCGAGAATATTCATAAGTGCCTTCTGAGCTGCTTTCTGTGCAATCAGTTAAATTAAGCTATTTTTTAAAAAATAGCTGAAATCTTATATTTTTTAATATTTTTTGATATTCAGAATTGTTCTTCAGAATTTCTCTTCCGAATTTTTTCAGATAAATTTATTGCATTCAAACCAAAAATTTATTTTTGTTGCTTTCTTTATTGCCATTAGTTGGTTAATTTGATTAGTTTTTCATTTATTATTGCCAGCGCATGGAATTCATATTATATTTATATTCATATTATATTATATTTAATGCTAATTAAATAATATAATAATACTAAAAAATATAAAAATATGAAAAAAACGGCATTTAAAAGCTTTGCAAAGATTTTGGTAGCGAAAATTCTATATTAAAAATATTCATCTTCCTCAGAGTTGAAAATTCGACCTTTTCCGATCTGATAATAGTCTTTTGGTCATAATCTTTACCTGCAATATGTTTTTTACAAACTATGAGTAATTTTTTAATTTTTTTTAAAAAATCTTCTAAATTTTATTTCATTAAATTGGAAATTCATTATCATTTCAATATTCCTCCTATATTTCTCTTTTTATCTCGAAAGGAATACAGAAAAATGAAAAATTTGAATACTGCAAGAATTTATTTATTTAAAATTTATGCTCAGCATAATTTGACAGTGACTTATGCTTAATTTAGCAATATGCATCTCTAGAGGCGGTTTCATGCGGTTCCTGCATTAATACTAATTAATTTGCGCCATCTATTTCTCTGATTTATCGTCGCTTTCGTAAATAATTGCCTTAATTTGATGGGGCATGAAACTTATATTAAAATTTTGTATTTTAAAATTATATTCAATGGCGATAGTAGTTGAGAGAATTTTCCAATTAACTACTCTAAAAATGCTAAACATGCTAAATTGAGATCCTTTCATTTTCAGTGAACTTATAAGAATATGAACATAGAATATAGAATGCATTTCCATTTTTTAGCCTCGAAATAATGAGAATATAGGAAAATGAAATCTCATGGAGAAATCATAAGTCACTGTCAAATTAGGCTGAGCATAAAATTTGAATAAATAAATTCTCGTGCAATTCAAATTTTCATTTTTCAGTATATTTTTCGGGATAACAAGAGAAATTTAGGAAGAATATTGAAATGATGTGGAATGTGTTTATTAAATAGATATTCAATAGTCAGCTAATATCAAGCAAAACAAAGGGATCAGAGATATTTAAGGCTATAAAAGGCTATTTACCCTGTAACTGCACTTCCAACAATTATTTCTTTCACCACATTTTCAAGATTTGAATATTTGAAAGCGAATATAACTTTTAATGTGTTTTGCTTTTCTCTAATAATGCTCTAACATTCAAATTTATTTAATAAAAAGATCTAAGGTGATAAGGTGAATTATTGTTTTTGCATTGTTAAAGGATTGCTTGAAAGGATTTTTGAAGATTTCTATAGAATGTAAAAATTATAAATGGTTTATGGCAAAGTGGTACAGAAAATTATAGCGGAGATTAACAGAGTTTCGAAATTTAAAAATGCTATTTAAGAGATATTGGAAAGGATAATTCGATAAATATTTTGCGTGAAATAGGTGAATTTCTTCGAGGAATTAATATTGGATTTAATAGGGTGAAAAAAGATTATTGTTGCGCTTAGATAAGAAAATATGGATGTTATGGATCACCTTGTTTTACAACTTAATCTTTGGATTAGAATAAATATTGCATTTCAATTCGTACGGATTAGAAGGATTTCATCCTTCTAATTCTATTTAAAATATTACAACAATGCTATATCAAATCTTCGATTTAATACTGATAAAAAATTTCAATTTTCATATCACTAATAATGGCTAAATTTGATGCTTTGTTTAGTGCCAATTCAAATAAGCAAACGATCAAAATTGCTTTTATAATGGTGTAAAATTTGTGAATCAACATTTTTTTTTAAAGAGTCACCATTACGGGTTAAACTCGCTCCACTGGTTTGACAATATGCCAGAGAATCCTTTGGCGATAGAAATACAGGTGAGTCGCCAGCATCACCCGGATTTTTGTATAGGTTTACTCGTGCGGGGAATCGAATCTCAGCATCGGCGCCAAGCTGAGCAACAAGCCAATGAGCAATTCTATTTCCAATGAAGTAGCATATAGGAACACGTTAAAAAATTTCTCGGTACCAAAGTTTGATAGAATAAATATCTATAATCCATAAAAACGAAACCAATAATTTTTTAAAAGTTGGAACTTAAAGGGACACCTTTTTTCCAATTTTTATAGTTTAGAGAGATAAGTAAAGGAGAAAAGAAGACATTTGAAAACATCAGCCTACACTTTCAAGTTTATTCGGCTTATTTTGAAATATAATACGGTCTATTGCTTTACCATATTTATAAAAAATCGGCGAGTTAAATTAGGAGAATTAGATATTTTTAATACAAACTTTACGGTACCATGGTAATAATCATTAAAACTGCAGGTGGTACTATAGGATTTCGTTTTCTTTTACTTCTTCATTTGTTTTCTATTTTATACTTTGGAATCAATGAATGGCTACCTGTTCCATTTTAATTAGGAAAGGCAAGTCAATATCAACGATGGATCACTTGATCAGAAATTTTCTAATGATAAATTTTCCTTCATTTTTCAATTTTCCTTCATTTCGGAATTTTTCATTATTTTTCATTATTCTTAAGACGCCTGGTCGCCTAGCAAGTTTTGAGAAATTCTATACTTACTTTATACTATACTTACTTTGTTTGAAGAATAAATTTTTATTGACTGGTGCCCGATCTCTTCAAGCAAAAGCGAAAGTTAATCACGTGGTTCTAATTCTGGGAATGAAAAATATCACATGATCATATCCACCTTCACTCAAATACCGCTTGTATTAATAAATCTGCCTAGACGGGAGTAAGACGAGAATAATTAAAATCAAATCTGAGTGGCTGCTGGAGACCCATTTATATCTACAACTGTGGTGAATGGGTCAATGGCGAAATCATAATCGTCCGCATGTTCCAACGCGCTTGGTATACCTGATGGTACACGCGATAAATATGCGAATTGGACATGGGGCAAAACGGCTGTCTTTCGCACCTTCTACGCATCATGGCCCCTCTCAAGGGGACTTTGGATGCATAAGACAATCGACTAAATATTTTGTTATACCTATACGCTACATTTCCAACTAATCAAAAAGATTAGTAGATTTAGCGCTGAGCTATTTCCCATTCACTCGCCGTTACTAGGGAAATCCTCGTTAGTTTCTTTTCCTCTGCTTAGTTATATGCTTAAATTCAGCAGGTAATCACGACTGAGTTTAGGTCACCGTAAAAAAACAAATAAAAATATATTTTATTAACACATTTTTATATGTAAAATTGAGGGAACTTCTCTAAGCCACTTAAAGAAAGGGAACCAGACAATAATCATATTACACTCTGACGAGATTTCGATTGTAGATTTCGGCTGCCTGTAGATTTGGCGATAATGATTCATATTCTATTCAAATACTGTGTGGACATCGCCTGTAATAAACCTGGTTCAGATAAGAATTATATCAGTAATGTTCCGATAACGCAGGGAGTACAGTGGTTACATCCGAAAAAGCACTTTAATCGTATGGAAAGTCACCGGTGTTCCTACATTGTGCAAGCATGATTCCATGCCCAGCTTAAATTGCTAACAGCTTCATTCTCAAAAATTGCAGAAGATATTTATTTAGATGGAACTGTTTACATGGCCATTAAGAAAAATATCACATGATCATATCCACCTTCGCTCAAATACCACTTGTATTAATAATGTTATCACAGAGCATCTTCGCAACTTAGGGCATATTCTCCACCGTTGTCCACCATAAGAGTTGACGCATATTTTGTTATTTGCTAAATCGTGTGATGGATGGTGTCAAAAACGAGTTGTGTCAATCAAGACCTGGACTAATACGGTCAGAAAAGATTTTGAGCGTATAGGTGGACCAGCAATATATGGATGGAAAAAGGAATGGCTGCTGTCGACGATGGCATCAGACCGTACAGCTTGGAAGCGTTTTACCTTTGTAGCCTAATCAGTAATGGTAAGAATCCTTCCTCTTTACGTCATTTTCAGAGACTTACCGCTTTAATTTTCAGTTTATGTCATTTCGTGTCAATGTATTTAGTTATAATTTAATTTAATGCATTTTTATGTAAAATTACTCACTAAAATTATTAACGATCCAAAGATCATTTTCATTCACTTATTTATTTCTTTAATTTTTTTATTTTCCATTTTTTTAATATTTTTATTTTCCATTGCTCGCATTCGAAAAAATAAAAATAATAAATAACGAAAAATTCATTGAACTAAAACTCATATAGCAAATTCAAATGATCTCGGGATTGAAAATAAAAATAGAAATACATCGACCACTATATAGCATATGCATTGTCCATGCTCTTTGATAAGCAGACCTTATCATTAAGCGAAAATTTCTCGAAAACAAAATTTTAGGAAATATTTTTAATTAAAAAATTTCCAGTTGAAAAATCTGGCAAATTCTAAAATTCTAAACAATTTTCATGAATTAATATAATCGTCATTTTAACGAAAAATTTTGAAATTGAAAATTTTTGAAAATTTTTGAAATTGAAAATTTTTAAACAAAAATTGACATTTAAAAATTCATTTTTAGCAGAAAAAATTAATAATTAATTGTGACGATGAAGCAAAGGTCGTTGAGCAATTTTGCATGAAAATGCAAATTTATTTAAATGCATTAAAATATAGCTAAATACATTGACACGAAATGACATAAAATGGCTGAAAATTGAAACAGTAAAATCTCTGAAAATGACGTATTCTTGTACCTTCACGTACTCATCTTTGCACCTTCATTGTGACCAACTTGTTAAATAGCCCTCAGTGGGTGCGAAAACTTCAGTTGTTTCAGTTACAACATCCTCGTTGTTGAAATCTTCGTTTGGAAAAAGAAATTATGCTTTTCCTTCCATTTGCATTCTTATTGAACTATCCAAGTTAGTTTATTTATTCCTTATTATTTGATCAAAACATTTTCATAATAAATATTTTTTCTCAGTCGAATCAACGTCGGATCTGAGTGGTTAATTAGATTTTTTACAAATATTTCAAAATAAGAGACGGTGTAGAACTGCAGAAGTGCAGAAAATAGAGAAGTGTAGAAACTTTTGGATGATTTTTCAGTCCAATTTCCGTCATGTCCAGGACTTGATCCACGCGATCGCCGTTCTATGTTTCTTGACGAACTGACACGTCGATCAAAAGTGAAAATATATCCTAAAAGAATAGTAAGTAAAATTTTGTTTCATTATTTATCAAAATATTTTCCAAATACTTTAAAAGTTTTTTGTAAGTGGAAGATTAAAAAATGAATTTACATTTTCGCGTAGCACATAATGGAATCATGAATTATTAGATTGTAAAATCTTAGTAAATAATAATTCGTTTGCAAACCATCCATAATTTTATTAACTCGTTATTTTAATAAGTTAACTGGGTGATTGATGAGAACTTATAAAAATGGAAACCAATGGACAAAAAAAGAAAAAATTTGCAGAATGGGATTTGCATGGATGGAATGCTTAATCAAACATTAAACATTGAACATTTTTTAGGAGTGGAGTTGCGATTTAGAGAGGGAGGCAGATGAGGCGGTACAACAGTGTTTGATCAGGTCATATCCATTAAAGAAGGATTTTCGGCAGAGTATTTACGCAAATATTTCTTGTAAAAACAATCAGCTAAATTTAGGTTCGAAAAATTTTGAAGATCTTCAATTTTTTTTTTACTGCAGAGTTCGTTTAAGATAATCGTTACGCCATCGCTGAAAATTTTTTCAAATGTTTTTGTTTTTAAAAAATAAATATTTTTAAAATATTTTTCAGCTGGTGATTTATTCGGCCAAAATATCAGCAAATCCGAATTAGTTGAATTTTCAACTCTTAATGAAGTGAGAAAATCATTAGCTCAAACTTTTTTCTCTTTTACTGCATATATGATTTTTAGTATTGCCAGTTTATTAAAATTTAGGAAGAATGGCTTCAAACCATTGAGATTGGTTGTGCCAAAAAACTTTGTCAAAATGGAAATCAAGAAATCGATCTTATTGTTTGCCATTATAAAATCAAGTGATGCAAAAAATATTGTTATCAAATTTTTTAAGAATACAATTTCCAATTTTTTCGAAAAATTCGAATTATTCTTTTTATAAGAGTGGATAAGTTAGAAAATTATAAATTTACATGGATGTCCGTAGAATTGCAAACTACCATGCAATGGAACAATGCAAATACAAAGCCATACGCTCACACAATTCTATCCTTGAAAAATGCAACCTTTTCATTGTTAAATTAGAAATTGAAATTTTTGAATGAGCATGAACATGAAATGGTCTATCGGTGGAATATTCTAACCGACGTGTTGCCAAAATTAGGTAAATATAAATGTTTACTGGAAATATTTGAATCCCAGGCAAGAGTCGAGCTTAATCACAGCAATGAAGGAAGTTGCTGGTTTCAAATTGGGTTCTTTTGTACCACAGCTGGGATCGTTCGAAAGTAAAATATTGCAAGGATCTATAAAAGCTGATAAGATATTGCCAACGAAATCCGACAAGCCAATAAGGATGACGACAAAAATCGATTTTTCAAGTAAGTTAAGCGAAACGTTTGAAACAGTTTGATTCTGGTTTATTGAAATGAAAATAGTCGCATTGGCCTAATCCAATGACTTGTCCACTCTTTAGAATGCGTAGAACCCAACATCGCTGTCAAAGTGCAGGAGAGAGTTGTCGCGCGTCATAATTTGTATAAAGCTTTACTTGCATATATTATCGCAAAATTGCATGGAAATCTTCCTGATAAAAGACCAGATTTGGTATATTTCTCTATTTTTATTTCATTCAAAACAATTTGATTTTCATTTTTTCGTGTGATTCTTTGATTATTTTCTAGAAATGGAACTGTTCTTTGGCGAATTCCGCACAGCTTTGGGCAAACGAGTGTGTTTGGTCACATTCTGAATCTGCTTTTGAGAACAAAATTGGCGAAAGCTTAATGAATTTCTGGATTAACGATACATCATTGCCAGGTAATTTTTTTGGCATAAAATGTTTGTGACGCTATAATTTCAATGTTTAAGATTCAATATTAATGGATGCAACTGATGCGTGGTGGAGTAATGTAGTTCATAAGGATTATGCTGGTGAATCAAGTAAAAACTTCGTGCAAAATTTTGATTTCTTCATCCAAGTTAGTTGATCTATCTATTTGATTGTAACCTATCGCTTCAACTCTAAGCAAATTTTTAAAAAATTAAAAAAAAATTTAAGATGACAAATTTGATAGCAACCGATATGGGTTGTGGAATGGCACTTTGTCCAGTAGGAGGCTATCATGAAAAAATTCAGCTAATTGTCTGCCAATATTACCCACTGTATGTTTCAATTCTTCGAATATATAACTATAAATATATTGCACAAATACGATATGATAATATTCCCTCAATTTTTACCACTCCCATTTTATCGTTACCATTTTAATGCAAAGAACTTTCAGGGATAACAGTTTGGCTGATACAATCGGAAAATTTTTGATTGAAAATCGAGTACGATTCCTCGAATTTGCTCAAGCGTATTCATAAGCGCCATTTGAATTGCTTTCTGGGCAATCAATTATTTTATTATTATTACTTTTATTATTATTGTTATTTTATCAATTATTATTTTATCAATTTTATTAGATTATTAATTATAATGCACCAATATATTCATAATGTTTTCTGGAAAATAAATGAAATTTGCATTGTTTTTTTTAACAATTAAGATTTGAAATTCGAAATTGCAAACATCGAAAAATATTATATTTAGTTCACCTTTTATTTATTCATCGTTTACAGAAAAAATGAATAATTAAGTAATGAGATTTGGTAAGAATTTATCTGATAAGTCTGAAAATTGCTTTTTGCTCAAAAATAGATCAATCTAATTTGTTGGATATCCATTTTATTAGTTTCAGTTCAAAGATGAGAAAGAAAATGGAAAATAGAATGAGTAAAAAAAAAGAAACAATTACGATTTATGTTGGTTAAACATATTAATTAATGTGCATAAAAGAGTCAGAGTATGTGAAGAATTTTTCATATTATTCTAAATATACCACTAGGGGAGCAGAAGGGTTGAATTGAAAGGTTGCTCGATTCAGAGCGCCGATTCTGAATTCTGATGTTTTACTCTTAGAAAGAGCGAACTGGAAACTGGAGTGATTCTGGAAATAATATTGGATTCACCTATATTTCTATCGCAATGGTACTTTCTAGTGCGACAAACCAATGGAGCGAGTCTAATTCAGTTATAATGAATGCATGAAGGAAGCTGGATAAAATATACAATAAATATTGCTCTTCTTTTATGAGAGATTTTATTTTTAAATTTCAATTTTTACTAAATAACAATTGCCAAAAAGTTTTTTAAATTTGTTGAATTTTATGCTTCAATAATTAATAAAGCCGTTGGTGAGAAAGCCTTTTTCATTAACGAATGGAAAAATCCTTGCAATGGTAATAATTTAGAATTTGCGATCATCTAATGTATTAGAAAGAGAGGTCGTTAGTGGTGGATTTTTCATGTTATCCTAAATGCCCATTAATTATAATTCAATTTCTGTAAAAATTAAAATTTAAAAAATACTTCTTTAAAGAAAAGTATAGAAAGGGATTTAATATTTGCTCAAAAATTTTATACAGTTAAGTTAAATTGGTTGCCAAAAAAATTATTTCCGACATAACGACAGTTCAATAGCCTCGGAATCATTGGTACTCTAATAATCCGATTATAATTACGATGAACACTTATTATATATAAAAAACGATGCTTTAAGTAGTACCACTTTATTATTGCTTAAACGCGTACCTTTTTCTCAATTTCTGTTATATTTAATTTTCTATAGATGGATTAGAAAAATTTTCCACTTTTGTGCTAAGTTGAACAAGTGTCGCAGGATTAAATTATCGAAACTGCTGGCACTTTTTACTTTTACTTTTTTAAGAATTCAGGAATACGTTTCATTTAAAGAAAAAACAAAAAGAATTGAAAAATTTGCGAAAATCCTCAAATGCATAAAGGAAACAACTTGACGGAAGAATTTACACCAGGCAAGAACTGCAGGAAGTGAGAAATCTCGATTTTATCTTCAGGTTATATATGTTACTTCGAATTGTACTATATTATATTGATCTGTAATTTCCTCTTTAAATTGTTAATTTTTGTCATATTGTTTTATGATTAATTTTGTTTATGTTTTTTTTTGTGTTTCTTTTTCTGTTATCTTAACTGTTATTATTACAAGCACATGGCGTTGTCGCCCTTCTTGGCTGACGACCATAAATTAGTTGAATCGAAAAAATTAGTTGAATTAGTTGAAGGAGTTCAGTTCTTTCGAAAGGATCTGTCAGTTCACATATATATATATATATAGACCTGTATTAATGCTCGCGGCTATCGAATGACTCTCTTTGTGATATATATGTCATTATATATATCATTATTACCACTATTATTATTATAATCTTTACCACCGTATGTCATTATCCTAAATACGGGGCTCTCTCGAAGGCAAAATTAGATAGCGAGCATAAAGTCATTCTTGAATATTTAGCCAGCAAATCTCCGTATATCTTGAAAATTAGGTTAAACATGGCAGATCCTCATATCCCACTATCTCTAATAATCCTATTTTTTTTTATGAACAGTGCCAAATATGACGTATGATGTTAAAATATGTTATGCACAAGAGCTGAGTGAAACCACAAATCGTTATATGTCAATGAAATGCCAACGAGACAGTAGAGCAGAAAGATCAAATTACTAATAACTGCGACAGCTAAGAACCTAAGCGATCCTAATCATAATTGCCTAGGATTGATGCAACAGCAACAAAAGAAGAGCATATGGCTGTGAGCACATTGAGCACTTATTATTTTATATTATTATTATATTGTTTTATGCGCTATTTTATATACATAAAATATATGACTTTTCTAGCTAATACGACAACAATTATATTTTGCTTTTTGCATATATTTATGTTGTTACTATTGGAACTTTAATTGTCTAAGCTTGAGTACGACGAAGAACCATAAGACACGATACTTTCTTTTGAGAAACAAAGCAAACACTGCATTTTTAAACCTTTTTGTTAGATTTTAAAGTGATATTTTATGGAGATTCTTAAATAATTTCTTAAATACTTTTTTTGCTAATCTACTAGCAGTAAAATTTAATAAAAAATGAAGGCTATTTTAGTGAAGTAACAATCTTTAAATAAATGGATAAGTTTAAAATTAAGCTTAAAATTATCTTTTTGAGTTTTAATATTCATTTCATTGGTCAAAAATTAGGAATAATTAGTAGAAATAATTTTGCCAGACGACCGCTAATGGATAGAAATATCTTCGGATGCTTGGCATCACCCGAATTTTTCCAATGATTTCTCTTTAAATTCCTCATGTTGAACGTATTTCTTAATCAATTTGTTTATCATTTTTGCTGCTTATCCATATTGAGATCAATATTCATAAATTAATTTACATCATTTATTTGATTTTTATACGATTTCAAAGAACAATAAAAAGGATTGTTATAAACTTGTAAAACTATGAAAATGCTCGAGCCAATTCCAAGAAACGAACTTCATTTTTTGTCACAAAATCTTCTATTTTGTCGATT